GTAATTGACACTTGAACTCAGCCTCTCAGGACTTAGTTTGTCAACTTGTCAATCTTACTGAGGTAGCTACAGTCTGCTTCACTCTATTACCGTCTCATCATGATTTTACGCTGCTACACTCTACTACCGTAACGTTTCATCATGCTTTTACGGCAGCAAAGTTAGGTGCGATGTTCGTAACACAGCTAGTGAAATTAGAATAATTTAAGCTATTCACATGCAATCACATCAGATTTTTTATCATGGGAGAAAGAATGCAGATTATTATATGCAATCTTTCGGATTCTTTCCAGTAGAATATTAGTACAACCGTACAACGCACAACAAAGAACAAGCACAGGGGTACAGACTGACAGCTGATGACCTTGATCGACGTTTTCGCGGTTCTATTTCGCGCCTAGAACTTTGAATATCCGCATTCTGGCATCGGATCCGGGATTTTTCTTGACATGTTGACGGTGTCGTCAACGGTGTTGACGGGATAGTTCAACCATGGTGAGCACAACTCAACTCAGGCATCTTTCACATTTGTACAGTGAAAGGGCTTACAATATTTCACAACGAGTGAACCTAATACATTTTGACCTTGTTTTTTGATGATTTTTCAACATTTGATGATTTTTCATGATCACCAAAAAATACCTATTATATCAAGCTCTGGATGTCTGGATGCACATGCGTAGCAACATCCGCCTCAGATGCTGGCACATTACAATAGAGTGAGCAAAACGCCCTTAGTGGATTAATTTGCTTGCAGAAATCGCTTCTGCTTGTTCAAGCCGGAAGCGCGTCAGTGCTGTCAGCATGTCATCTTGAAAGCTATTAGGTGTCGACCCTTTCCAGAGACGATAGTAGATAGGTGATTGTCGTTCTGTAAGCCTTTCAACATAGAAGGAATTAACTAAAAATCTGGTATGTGGTCTGAGTATTCAACTGATTGGAAGGATATGCAATTTAGCTCATGCCTTCAACTTGGTTGCTTGATTTTCTAGCTAGGTTCTCTCGTAACCCGGCGCAGCTTTCACTTATTAGAGTACAACTCGTCTGATGTCAAACTTTATGAGTAGCTCCCGAAGGAGTATGACGAACAGGGGTGCACCAGTCATTTGTTCCGGAGCTAGTTGTAGGAGCAAATCTGCGCACATGGCGGCGTATTCTCGAAGAATGAGCTCTTCTACTCAAAAATAGCAAATGATGACCAATAAATAATTGGCATTCTGCCGAATGTTCGCGTTGAGTGGCCGCCATCAGTTCAAACAACTTTCGCACGCAGGTCAATAACTCAGCATTCCTATACAAAGCAGGCTGTGAAGGATCTTTGCCAAGCTTCACAGTTGATAAGAGAACTGCCTCCTTTAAAGCATGAGGAATTCCTCCTGCACAGTATTTCAGAGTAATATTTCAGTGTTGCGCTAATGGCGTGATGATTATGTATACCGTATAACGAGACGTATAACGACACAGCTTTTGCACCGAGACTGCGGGTTGCACGTTGGAGGCCACCTTTTTGCAATACCGGCATCACTTTCATATTCTTCCCGTGCACAAGCATGCTACTGAGCAGATTAGCCTTTGAACTTAAGTGTGCTTGGAGCCGTATCCGCCGTAAGCCAGCAGCCACTGCTCCAGCCAGTATAGTCTTAACGGCATCTACACCCCAGCACGAGTCTTCCTCCACACTTGCCCCGACTCTCCACTCAAACAAACCTTTCCGGACCGAACCTAACCTCATTGGCTGCAACAATTTAAGGTGGAGAAGCTGGGAATTTAGGGGACTGAAACCGGTCGTTCACACTCAAACCGAAGGTAAGCCCCGTCCACACACTCAAACTTATCGTCAGTCTTGCATGTAATGTCAGTTTTGGCCGACAAGACGGAGCATGTGGACGCTCAAAGTTTGACGTCTTGCATGACGGGTGGGCGGAGTTTGAGGTTAGACAAACCTGGAAAAGACGGACGGGCGAGACCTTTAATTAAGTTCATGCAAGACTGACGATAAGTTTGAGTGTGTGGACGGGCAACCGACTAATTCTTCAAATTTTTGCTTATCTCAGTCTGTATTGATGTTGAGAGCTGTGACATTGTTCCCTTCTAGCTCTAGTTTTTCACATCAAAATGTCATCTCAAGATATCCGACACTAGTCTCACGATTTCTTTTGCGAGTTTATCAAATTATATCGTAGTTTCTCTTGTTTATGGCAAATTCAATCGAATTGCAACAATGATATGTACAAGAGCACTGGCCTATAAGGCAAATGCATAGAATTTGATCTTACAGCAAACAAAGACTTTGTAACGAAGAAAATAAAACTTTTTTCGTACGGTTTATTGAAACGAATGTGCCAAAATGAAGTCGTCAATGCGGTCTGGTGCTGGTAGGGATGCCTGTTTATCAATCCTCATTGTGGTATTGAAGGCTGCTACTACCTCCTCCATTGCCGAGAGCGCACTAAACTGAAGGAAAGTTTGAATAGTGTAGAGTGTAGACGCTCGTCAGGATTCCGTCTTGTCTGTCAAACTTTGGCATAGAATAGAATAGAAGTGTCTGCATTGAAGAAATAGGCCCATGGCCTGTTGCCGATTCTTGAATTTTTCGTGGCTTGATTCACAAGGGATCCGGCCTTTGGAACCCGATCTTTCCATAACGCTCCGAGTTAACGTTTGTTGACGCTCCGAGTATGAACATCTTCAAAAACAGACTAGACGAAGCTATGCAGGAGCATATGTTCAGTCTTAAAATGCCTAGCAAATTACTGACCAGGCAATAAGTCCAGCAGACTATCTCAATCAATCGTCAGCTATGGAAAGATCGGGTTCCAAAGGCCGGATCCCTTATGAATCAAGTCACAAAAAGTTCAAGAATCGGCAACAGGCCATGGGCCTATTTCTTCAGCGCCGACACTTCTATTCTATTCTATAACTGACGATAGCTGCTGGACTTATTGCCTGGTCCGTAATTTGCTAGGCATTTTTAGACTGAACATATGCTCCTGCATAGCTTCGTCTGGACTTATTGCCTGGTCCGTAATTTGCTAGGCATTTTAAGACTGAACATATGCTCCTGCATAGCTTCGTCTAATCTATTTTTGAAGATGTTCATACTCGCATGATATGCAAGACTGACGATTAGTTTGAGTGTGTGGACGGGGCTTAAGGGTGGAGGTAGGAGCATGCTGGGGTGTAGATGCCGTGAAGACTAGACTGGCTGGAGAAGTGGCTGCAGGCACACAGCGCCTTTGGCTTCAAGCCGTCGTCTAAATGATATGGCTTGTGGCGTTTCAAGCGTGGTCTGCCACGTCCAAGCTCATAGGCTGAGTTTAACTGAGCATGTTCATATAGAGAGTTTGCTTCAAGTCTTGTTTAAAAGTTAAATTTGTGGCCTACATGATACCTGCCAATTTTGGACATATGATCCTTTTCTTCTTACATTCTAGGTTAATAACGAATTAACGAGTGATTGCAATTCAACGACTTAATTTTATTATAATAATAATAATAGCGGTTTCAGCGTTTATTAGGCCGCAGGCCTGTCGCCGATTCTTAACATTGCAGAACGTTCACAGCTTGTTGCGGTCTCGAACACACAACTCACTGCTCCCATTGTGCTGTGCGTAACCGCCCGGCTTCCTCGAGGATTCTGACCAGAAACTGGCGCACAGAGCTGGGATCGAACCCGCGCCTCTCTGCTCCAATCTTGGTACTCTGAACTGTAACCACTGGGCCATATTTCATTGAACCAATTTAAAGTCTTTAACTAATTTAGAATTGTTTTGAATCATCTGCGTGCATGAATCACGCAGAAGCTGTCTTTGGAGCTAGAGCATTCATGAATATTTAATTAAAAGCTAAGAAAACGCCAAGCAAATTCACTATATCGATATTGAAAACGTTTCAGAGTCCAGCTACATCATCAGTTCGACAAAGTAAGAATGAGAAAAATCATTTTATAAATCAAAATTCTTAAACAGACATACCACATACAACCTAAACCAACCTAACATTATATCGAAAAACAGGACTCGATTTTCTTTTCTTTTAAATTCCTTGTGAACTTACGATACAAGCAGACTGATAATATAAGAATATTTGTTGTTGAGGCCAAGGTAGCAACGAAGCGTCACAGTTGATGCTGCTTCACGCAACCCATCGTTGTGCACACATAATGCCTTCCTTCATTCGGGACAAAATTCACATGCTTCTTAAATATCACAGAAGAGGACGAAAAACATGTAATTAATAAAATATATTTTTCTCGAATGTTATTTCGATGGATGATAAAGTTCTGTGATAAAGTTTGAGTAAAGTAAGGATTTTTGCACGAATCCTCATTGTACCTATGCCATGTCCGTATACAATGTGATTATTCTCATCTAGCATTAATTTTTGCGAGATGTGTGAAATAAAAATGTTGGCTTGAAAGATAGCTTTAATCTCAGAGTGGCCTTATTATTATAATTATTTTATTTGTAATTAACTAATTTCACTTGATATATTAAATTATTAACCAATATCATCTAAGCAACAATTCCGATTCAAACCGGTATTGAATTTTAGTATTATTGTGAACGAACATTAATTTCTAGGCTCCAATCCTTCTGTTAAGGACATGCATCATAACTGAGTAAATTGTAAAAGTAGCCAACAAAATAAAGAAAATCTATCACCTTGAAAACTTTCCAAATCAACGGCTTAGGTTATGAGCTCTCACGAGCCCCGAAACAGCGACCACGCGAGTCTATTGAGGTGCGAGTCGCTCTTCTCAGGATACACGTGATGGGATTTGCTGAAAAATTTTCTCGTATGAACATCAAGTAAATCAAGTTCGTATTGCGTCAATTTCACAGCGAGAGTCCATCTTCAATAAATGTATTAGATACACTAGAAGCCATATTCGTCACCGTCCAGTCACCTGCTCGGCCTTCAGTAGAGCGACATGTTCCGACCGAGATGATGGTCTAATAAGGTGTTATGAGGGAACCAGGGTAATAACGAACTATCACTAATTATTGGGTATTATTTATTGGTTATGTATAATATGGCAATCGAAGAGAAATCTACATTTACTCGAATGTAACAACAAGAAATACTGCAACCAAGTACACATTTTTTTCTAGCTTGGTGAGTTTTCTGCTAGACGAAGGGAGCATTGAAATTATTATGATGAATAATTAACAAATATTAAGTCCGCATAATTTAAATTAATTTCCAATTGCGATGGAATATTTGTTGACATATTGATTCCAAAAAAACATCACTGCATCCGGGTAGTGATCTTACACATAACTGTGAAAAAATACGCAGAAATAAGAAGCTCATAAACGTTCATTAATATACCTATATTAAAAATATTTACATAGATAACTTTTTTATTCGTACAGGAAGACATTTTTGGAAGAACACCTTGCTCCGGGCTAATAAAAACCCATAAAAACTACCTACGAGAAAAATAATAAGCTTTTGAAAACAATTGTAGCTAAGAAAAGAAAGAGTAACTAGTACCATTAAGCACGGAGCTAACCGTATTAATGTGGAGGAGCGCCAGCTCGACAGAAAGACATAGAGAATATTTTAAGTTCACCTCCCTCTTAATCTGCATAATGAGTAGTTTTCCAAGTTTTTATATTGAAATTAAATTTTGCTATCCATTACTTAATTAATACATATGGTAAACAACAATTCTATTAAGACATTTTCCCTAGAATATACCTACACTTGAAATGTCGAGAAAAATCATCCCTCTCTAGGGTGAGTTCACAGGATGATCAATATTGATCACGTTTCTGTTTTTCAGTTTTCTGTCGAATTCGTCAGTCAGTGATGGAGTATGAAAAGGAAAACAACGAAAAAATCTTAGGAACATCTTAAAATTAGATACATAAATAGACATATTCATTAAAAATGTGACCTTAATATAAGAACTGCATAAGAATCACATTCTAAAGAGGCTTGCGAATACAATACAATACGCTGGAAAGCTTCTCAGTCTCAGCCACAAGTAGACATGCAAAGTTCAGCCCACGTGCTGCTTTGCAACACATTATGCATTTATGGAGCTTACGAGTCACAGCTCAAATAAAGGCTGCACTAAAATTCATATTAATATTACAGCTAGGTACAAAAATAGAATTCATGACAACAATTAATTCGAAACAGCTCATATGCTGTTCTTCTCCCTTTTTGCAGCAACATCGATGCCAACTTTATGCCGTTTGTACGTACAATTTACATCATTAAGTTAAATTTTAACGGATTAGACAATTCCTTATTATTGGTTACACTTCTGTTCAGGTAAGATTGTTTACTCCCAAAAATTCTGAAAAGAATTTGTATTGCAGATACTTAAACTATTGTAACATTCTAGACGTCTGTAAATAAACTAAAAAAGGTAGAAATAAAATAAAAAAGGCCGAAATCTCAAACGGCTGATTCGGCAGCTGGCTTCTTGTAGGCGGTATCGAAGTCATCATTTAGTTTGTTGTTGTGTTGAGTCTCGTTATGCTTTCGCGGCGAAGCCTCAAGTGACGCAGATGGAGATCGACCAGAAGCACTGCCTTCACAATCGGCACTGTGAAGACTGTCGCCATCAGGAGATCTCCTCAGAAGATCAGGACTGTGACTCTGATGATCAAGGCCTGATTCTTTCCTCTCTGATGGCACAGTGTCATCAACCTCCTCAAGCTGATCGTCGTTTGAGTCTCGATCAACAGTGTCGGAGCCCCCGTCGGCATCTCCCACCTGCACCCTGATCGAGTCACTCGCTGAAGCGTCGGTCTCCAAGATTGAGGCCTCATCGATGGAAGCGTAACTGAGCACCTGGACGTTAGGAGTCGTGAAGATCTCATCGGCCAATACAGCGTTCGCCGACGGCATCAACTCATTTGGGACCTCAAAGTTGTACTCCGTTATTTCAGGATCGCTCGAGTCTGATTCATCATGATCATACTTGGAGAAATTCTGAGGATCATCATCAGATAGAACGGAGGTGTTGCAAGGTACATCAGCAAGCTCGGATTCTGTAATTTTAGCTCCTGGGTGAATTTTTTCTGCATCTTGATTACATTTTGTTTTCTCAAGAGATGACGAACTTTGACGAACTCCCGCATCTTGCTCGTGTTCGGCAACTGAATCTCTCCAACCATACGGACTGCCTGAAAGCGGCCGTATCATTGATGGCACATCAAACTCTTCGGGTTCCTGTTTACCTTCAGTGGGCTGGACAGTGACGTTAACAGTAGGTGGCGCGTTCAAATATTGCTGGAGACTATTAACAGGTTGTTCATCACCCGAAGGTTCATCATAAACAGGAGCGACCATCAATGGTTGAGGCATCGTTACGACAATGTGTGAGGGTGGATGAGTCTTAGACATGCTCATGGCTGGAGGTACGCTTTGAGGACGAGGTACGATCACCACAGAATGAGATGGTAATTGTTCACATGAACTGGCGTTTGGCTTGCATGATAGATTCATGGGTTGGCTTGAAAATACCTCTGATTCTCTCTCATCATGTGAAGGAGCCGACGGTGTCCCCATTTTAGTCATCGGGATGACAATAGGAGAGAAGTTTGCAGGCGAGATAGGTTGCCCTGTGTGCTTGCTTCTAACGCTCGGCTCTCGAACAACGAGACCATCTTCGTCATCTCCTTGGAGAAGAGACACTCTATCAGGCGCCGTGCGAGCGCTTTCAGCACGACATTGTTGAAGTCGCTCGAGTTTTCGAATGTTTTGCGGCACTTCTTCATCTTCGTACGATTGAAGGCAGAGGCTGTGCTTCTTCACGTCCCCTGACGACGCAATGTCCCCGCTCTGGAACGAGTCACCCTCATTTTGGAGTTTGCTGGTGTCGGGGGCGCTAGGGTAAGATTCGTTGAGGTTCAGCTTACTTTGGGATGGCTTCCCGCTATTCGCTATATTCAAAGACTCGGAGTTGTTTTCGTTACGGTCGGAACCGTCTTCAGGGATGAGATAGTTCCTCTCGGGGTCGACGTAGCGAGATGGCAGGGCCTTTTCGAGCACGACGGGCAGGCATATGGCCGCGTAGTAGGCGCACGTCAACAGTCCGATGATGAATAACATCAGCAGGATATACTCGAGCGCAGACATCGCCACCTGAAACACGGAAAGTATTAGATCAAATAAATGCAAACACTTTGAAGAAAGCAGAAATTGTACAGAAATGTAATCCGTTTAAAATAGTAAAATTTAATTATTATGAGTAACTTTGGCTTATAAAGGGGTAAACAAATTTTTTGAACACTTAGTTCTTCTGGTTTTGCAAATGCTAATGACCGGGAAGAGAAAATTGTAGCTGATAAATTTGAAGACAGGGCAATAAGCTGAAAATTTATTTCCCTTCATATAAATTCAAACACACCCATCTCTTATACGGTACCATTCTTGATAGCGAATGAATATTTCACTGTCAATTCCAATTTTGCCACGAACAAAAGAAAAATATCAGATTTAGAGAAGCAGACTCGTGTGATGCCGCATTACACTTTAGCTCATATGTACAATTGAATAAAAATTGAAACCAAAAGTAGTGGACTCGAAACAGATCTTTTGAAGGTCCAACAATAACTTGCATGTCAAGTTCCCAGAATAAATGATTTCAAACATGTTATTTCACATTGCGTCAACATATTCGTTCTATAAACGGTTTTAGTCCATCAATTCGAAAATACGGCAGAAGTGTCCTTTAGAAGAAATTATATCATGCGACTGGAGAATATCAGAACCCAAAAAATTGACACAGAAAACGGTTTCATTTTTGCTCGATAAAAGTTATGTATTCAAGTTACCAGCACTTCTATGAAAGTTTTTAATCTTCTGTACAATACTAATAATTAAGATCCGGTTGCTGCGTGGTCATCATGTACACAGTTTACGTGGTATCTGTAATACCGGCACCGGCTCAAAGTTACATTTAATTCTTGAGAATTGTTCTATCAAAACAAATAATTTCAGTGCCAGACCCGGCATATGATTCAGTCGATCTGCCAAACTTAAGTCAACTCGAACTGAAGGTTGCTGCACCCAATTGAGCTCATTCTGTGAGAAAGATTTCTGGAGCATTGAGCTCAATGCGGGAACAAGTGCACACGCGGAGGACAACTCAATACACTCAATTTATGGCTATCTTCTCAACAATGGCATCGATGATTGAAACACACGTACAACTTTATTTTCGAATAAGGATAATTTTTCTTTTCTACGTTTCAGTAATTGCAACAGCTGACAGAAACGCAACTATATCTAGTTTCATCACCACAAAGTAGGTAATTGTGGTAGTGTTAAAATAACCGATATCGAAGATTTTACATAAACTCGTAAATCGTTCGATATAAATTTATTCAAATAAATTGAATATATTATTCAAATAATAATTAGACAAAGGATAATGTTACTTTTTAAACAATTTCTTCGATCATTGGCGCTCGTCGTCGATAAAACTTAATCATGTTCTGTACGACCTAATAAACTAGATTATGCTCAAAATATACTACGATTCATAGCAGGAATAACAGGGTAAAAATAATCAACGAGTTGCCCTGAGTTTCGTGAAGTTCCTCAATTCAACGTCACGACCGCACGTCTCTCTTGCTGACTATGCAAGCAGTTGTTGATGACTATGCTGGTGCACCGCATCGCACGACTGCACAACCCCTTAAAATATAATTTTTACGTAACATTACGTACCCCTAAAACGTCTTCACTGCTAAACTAAACTAAACTCACTCTGTGAGTCAAACAGGGGAATTTAGACCTAAATAATCGTATATTCGATTACTCGTACATGAGTTCATATATACGGCATGGAATAATAAAATTCACAACACCAGTTCGTTACCGAACGTCTCGAACGCGTGTGTGACCAGCAGAAATATATATTGTTCTCTACGCTTGTTTTCGTATGAACGCGCCATAAAAACTGAATTAAAACGTATAAAATATTCGCTCACAAATTAAGGAGAGATTGAGTAGTTAACAACTTCCAGTCAGGGAAAATCCACAACGAGTTTGTTGGCAAGTGAATTGAAGCTTAATCATCCATCAGACCCATCACTCGGTCTCCTAATCATCCATCAGACCCATCACTCGGTCTCCTAATCATCCATCAGACCCATCACTCGGTCTTCGTATGAACAGCAGAAGTCAAGCATCTCTTGAAGCATTTGCCACTCCAGCACCTACATCCATCAGCTGAGAATTGGAGCCACTACCTTGTACGGCAAGTTACTCGACGCCATAGTGGCACTGCACGGCTGACAGTCTGTGTTTTTAGCAGTTAATTAGGTAAATGTTGAACTTGTTGCCCATCTACACTGATGGAATCTTCTCAACGTAAAATTTCTGCTTTATTTATTTACTTAACTGGCGCTCAAGTGCAGAACCTGAAAGCGCATAATTCTTAATTTTAGCATACTTTTACAGCTAACAGTTTTTATAAAGGGTACGAGACAATAGTGCACGAGTGTCTGTTTGTCGGAGTTGCATGCATGTAGGAGACTTAAGCTGCCGCGGCTGCACAAAAACTTGTGCTGAGTATTGGGGATAAGAAGTTATATTATTAATTCAGGTACGCAAATGAACTGTTTAAAATGGATTGTTTAAACAATTCACTCTTGTTAGGTCTTGCAAATATTTATAACTCACGGAGGTTTATACTATATACTTCATTAGCTTATCAAAAAATTATTAAAGATTTCATTCACTACGCTAAATTTTAAGTTCATTCTGCGAAACTGAATTCAAGCGCGCAAATGAGTACTGACAATACACATAAAGTGAAGGTGAACTGCAAAATATTTTGAACATGCAAAACTGAACTGACGAGTGGATTCATGACAGAACACAAAAAATTAATTTACGTAGGCTAATAGAAACGAGCGCTCCTGCAATATCAAGTGGCGTACCGATGTAGGCAGAGAATGGGGGTGTTAATCTTTTCAACATTTATCCTAATTCCTGAAGCTTAAAGCAAATTTTAAAAGCGTTATTTGCATTTATGCTAAATAACAGTCAAAATAAAAATTATAACATCTAGAATTCAATTACTTGATAAGTAACGTCTAAATAACAGGGGGCTCAAGTTAAAATATAATTTAAAAGGCTGCAGAATGTAGTTTCTCTATATATTTCGCATTATAGGACGGCATATTCTCAAAAAATAGCACTCAAAAATTACATCAACAAACGAGTAATATAGCTTGGAGATGAAGTTAAAAGCTGCAACGGGTTAATTTCATACAATGAAAAAATATATACATTAAGCATTAACAGAGAATGAGTAACTATATATGATCGGAAGAATAATACGTTCCAGCTTCATGATTTGCTGCAACGGATGGATTTCATACAACGAAAAGATATATATACATTAAGTATTAACAGAGAATGAGTAAGTATGATCAAGGGAATAATACGTTCCAGCTTCATGATTTGATGTAGTAAAACGTTCAGCATGCGGGCCGTTCAGTTCTGTATCGATTGCAGGCGAACAAACAGGTTTAGGCCGCGGGGAGCAGGCATAGATGTAACGGTGGTCGCTCACTGCGCAAGCCTTGCAGTATCATAATTATTCTGTATCCGCAGATAAATCCTGTATATGAGATAAATGATAATTAATAATTACTTCTTGTTTGCACATCAAAAGGCTGTCGCGAGTGAAAAAACATTTGACTTGAAATTAAGTAGGAAAAAATATACCATACAATTGATAATACAAATTTCCACAAAAAAATTACTTAGCCTAGTAAAAAAGAGCTATTCAGTCCAATTTAAAAGAAAACGTCCGTACACCATCTTGAAAAATTTTTTTTTGCTCGCAGCGTGAGCTTTGGGATGTGGCTTTTAACGTCCATGGTCGGCGCTCCAGGCCAGTTCCTGGAGCTGCGAAGTTCAGCTGAAGTATCGGCGCATGAGGCAATACAGTTCAAGAAGACGACAGCAATATGGGTGTTATCCATGTGTGTAAAAGAGAAGAAGGGAGGGAGCTCAAACAAGAGTGGGCAAAAATACGTTAACATCATAGTTTACGAAATTTATATGTCCTCAGAAGCGTTTTTTAAATGCAATAATGAGAAGAAATAGTATGTCTCCAGAAAAAATTTTTTAAATGCATTGCAAGTTGTTGCAGTTACTCTTAAATTTAACGTCAAATTCAGGAATTTACACGAAAATTTTTACGGTAATATCAACATTTTAAACACAAACGAATATGAGTTGTCAGTCAGGGAAATTTTATTTGAGATGTGAAATTCTGGTTTTCCAATTAGGTAAAACAAGTCCGGCGGAAATTCGAAAGTTTCCTCACAGAATCTCTGGCGCAATCACTATACTCTTCCCGCAAGATCACAAAGGTCGACACGCAAGAGCGCGGTGGCTGGCGTGTCTCTATAGGAGAATCCTACGGACGGAAATGAATGGAATTGACTCTAGCTCAATCCAAACGGTGTATTGCGATTGCGTGTGTTAAGCGTGGATGGCTTAGGGAAAAACTTGAGAGTGATGCCGTCTTTGTGGAGAGCAAGTCAAGAAAAACATAATGTTGAGCTCGGTAAAAAACCGTTGTGCACTATGACTCATACCTAGAATTAAGTAAATTAGTCGTTATATTCAAAGAAGCATGTACTCGCAACGAGAAGAAGAAGGTTGTAAGGATACCAGGTAAAGAAAAGAAAAGAATCTAAAGGATCAAAATTCTCAGAATCACACAGAACTCGAACTGAGGAGGAGAGAGCGTGTATGTTTAGGTGGCGCACGATGGCATCGCTGCTGCAGCTCACAGCATCACAACACCTTCATGTGTCAGCCTTGACATAGAACAGAGACACGCATACACTTCTGAGGCAGTGGATCTGTCACTGCAACAGAGACACGCAAACACTTCTGAGGCAGTGGATCTGTCACTGCAACAGAGACACGCATACACTTCTGAGGCAGTGGATCTGTCACTGCAACTGAGACACGCATACACTTCTGATGCAGTTTATTAGTCACTGCAATGCTCTCTGACACCTTGCGATCTCTTATCTTGCTGCTCTTCACTAGATTCAAAACACAGAGATGCATCTTACATAGCCTCAATAGGGCCGTTCTTCTGTACG